TTCTTCCAGCACTGGGGGCTGACTATCCTGGGAGTAATCAGTCTGACTACTAAAGACTAAGGCAAAGAAGGCATAAAGTACCTCAGCCTTTTCCTTATCCTTGTTGTAATATTCCCTCTCGCATCCAATAAGGGATGGAGACTCTCATTGGCCCTCTTTTTGTTGTTTATGTATTTGTAAAAACATTTTTTGCGTTTAATGCACCACAGGAGACCATTTGCCTTAAGGTACTGACTGCGTAATTCTTTTTGTGGTTAAAACTGTTCTTAGCAGAAAATTATACATGAGAAGTAGAGTGACATACAGCAGGGAAGATATGAAAGAGTTTGAAGTAGAAGAGCAGGGAAGAAGGAGGGGTGAAACAGATGCATATACCAGCCCTTAACTGATGTTTGCTAATTATACAGAAGACCACTTTACAGTTCTGTGCCACTGGAGACTATTGTCTATTTAAGCACTGGGTAGTATTCCATGAGTCTCTCACAGACAGGCAAGGGAATACTTATTTCAGAATATTTTGGTTTGATTTTTTTTTTTTCTTGGAACGTAAGTAACAAGTACTTTTTTCTGTAGTATTGATCTCAGAATTCAGGGACCTTTTCTGTGAGCCAAGTTGGCAGAACTATGCTGAGTTGCGTTGCCGTTGCTCAGGAGCTAACAGGTAGCTTCTGATGACCAAGTGATTGGGCCAGGTCAGCGCCTGGGAATGTGTAACTCTGACTCCTCATGGGAGGATGGCTGCATGTGTTCCCACTCATACAGCATCCTTGGCAAGGGAACTGACTGTTTATTGGGCCTGTGCGCATCAGCATCTTATCATGCATTTTTTTCTTTTGTTTTACGTGAACAAATCTTTGTATTAACTCGTGTAATGCACTTTGCATGTATAAACACAAGTCTGTAGGTCTGTACAGCTGCATGCAATACAGGAGGAGGAGAAGGAGCTTATATTGGGATGGGGAAGAGTAGAGTGTGAGTCTCTGAGGAACATCTTCATTTCTGTAATACTTCTGTTCTTAAAGCTCACCTCAGGATCTGAAGTATCGCTGTACATGACTACACAAACTGCTAGTGAAGCACACTAATTTCTACGGTGTAAAAGCCTTCCAAGGCAAGCAGGGGAAAAAAAATAAAAACACAGAAGAGACTGATTGGAGAGGAGGTTTGGAACCAGACTCTAAACCAAACAAGAACCTAATGCCACTGTGCCATAGTCAGACACATGGCTTATGCTACACTTCCATGTGGGTTCTTGTTTATGATGCGCTATGTTTTGTTTTATAGCTGCCAGTGTCTCCACTTTGCTTACATGAAGTGAAGTGCACAGTGGCTAAAATAAAACTTGCCTTATTTAATCACTAGTGTGCTTTTATTACAGGACTTCTGCAAGCAAGGATTCCTTTTTATAAAGAACAACCCCTTGAAAACAAACATGTTACTTTTTATGCCATTCATGTTACAAATGGAAGATTTCAACTGTTGTAAGCTTGAAATGGAGGAGTAGTAGAAAATTGAAGGTATCCACAAAGTCTGCCTTTCTTCTATAAGCTACCTAGTCAAAACTAGTGTTTGTTTGCTTGATTAGTAATAGCTGCTAAGTATATTTTACTGACTCACAGATGTAGTGTTTGCGTGCTATAGTGACGTGGTTTTGGTAGATGCATTTTTAGTAGTTAATCTTTGTGCAAACCACAGCTGAAGCGAAACTTCAGTGGGGAAGATGCTTGCAACCATGGAAGGTCATAGCTCTGTCCCATTTAGAGTTTTTTAATTTGATATGCAAATCTGTTATTGAGCCTAAAGGCAGCAACATGTAATTAAAATGCACCCAACACCTTCCTTGCCTGCTGTAGGCGACCCTGCTTCGGCAGGGGGGTTGGACTAGATGACCCACAGAGGTCCCTTCCAACCCCTACCATTCTGTGATTCCCCCTGCCCCCTTCCCCCCCCTCCAAACTTATCCATGTCACACAATACAGTAAGAAACAAGGTTTTGACTAATGAAATGGGTTGTGACATTTCAGTCCGGTAGGCACGAACTTTCTTAAAGGAGATGTGGTTTTTATGGGACCTATCTTGCGCATTAGAAGCAACTCTTCTCACATGGGCTGTTAAAGTGAAGTGAAGTGACTCCTTCCCTTATTTCGTGTAAATGAGCTCTACGGGTAGTGAGTTGCTCTAACAGGGACCTAACCTTTGGAAACAAAGCAGGCCAAAAGAAAGCAACTCTTAATTTCTACTACAAATGTATGGTGAAAACCCAGAACTTTGTTTTACCACACTCCACTTTCCAGTGTGGCATTAATCTCTTGTATTGATTTCTCTGGACCTTCAGCCTGAGTGCAGAGCTGGGGTGTGCCGAGGAGGCTGAGGGGTGGCTGTAGGTTGTGTTTGGATTCTTCAGGGATAGTGACTTGTCAAATCTGTGAAGGCTGGTATCGAATGTCTGCTGGAAAACCAAAATGCCCACTGTTAGCCTGTGGGTTTTTTCAAGCCACTATTAAAGGTTGCAGTTGAAGGTATTAGTTGACTTTATATGAGATTGACTCTTTAATTGACTTACACTTCTGACTGTTGTAAAGAATGACTGCTTGGCTGATGTACTTGCCTCCTGGCAACTGATCTTGTTCCTAATACTGAAGGTGATGACCTGCTGTGAAGCGCAAATGAACTCCTCACAGTAGTGTGTTCTGGCACCTCTTCGGGGGGGGGGGGCACGGGAGGACACCCAAATCCTTCAGTGTCAGCAGCTGAAATTTTTTTGCTTGTCTAAAACTTGATTCCAGTGTGGGAGTGATTCCTCATTCTTTAAGTTTCACTTTGTATCTAAAATAGAGGCTTCCTGTTGCATAAAGACAAGGGGGTTGCCTGCATGCAGGCATTTGGGAGTGTTAAGTGAATTAACTAAAAGTGTGAAGATAAAGTGGATGCTTTTAAGGCATGTTAAATACTTGTGTGGATGCTTTCCATTTAGACATAAAATGGCTTTAGTTCCCTTAGCTTAATCCTGCTTCAAAAGGGGATTAAGCTAAAGTGAACATAAAGCAGATTAAACTCCTGTGTGGACATTAACATGAGTTAATTTATCTTCCCTTTCCTGAATGTCCTTCTCCACCATGCCCTTCAGGATGTTTTTAGAAAGTGGTGGAGCTCTTCAAGCTTTATTAAAGCTAGAACTGATTTGAGTATCTGGAATTCAGTATTTCAGAATAACCACCACACTCGACTGAAAAGGATAATATGGTCTCCTAACAAATAATTGTCCTTCGAAAGCGTCAACAGCATATGGAGGAGATAGTGGGCTAATGATGAATACACATACACACAGGTTTAGAACATAATGGACCAAATTATTTTTGACCATTTAATGTCAAGCTAGCATGTCAAAGCTGTACTGATGTTTTCCCATAATGTAATCACAAAATATAATCGCAGAGAGGTTGAAGTTGGAAGGGACCTCTGGAGGTCATCTAGTCCACCCCCTCTCCTCAGAGCCACCTAGAGCCAGTTGCCCAGGACCATATTTGGCTGGCAATTCTGTTGTAAGGTCTTTGCAATTTGCCTTTTCTGAGAGATGTGCTGCTGACCCCAAGGACCCTAGGTGGATCCTGCCCCACCTCAAGTCCTGGTGCACACCGTGAGGTTTGACAGTTGTATAATGTGGCAGGATCTGTGCCTTCATAGCCATAGAAACAAGAAAGCTGAATTGTGTCCAAGTAAGATTTAGCCCATGAAATCTGGTTTTGGGGTGTGTTGTGTAATTGTGGTAGCAGTATGTGGGCTTTGGTAGCAGCTGCAATGCTATCAAACCTTAAAATAGAGTGTTGCTTGTGTACACAGCATTTTTCAGGCTTTCATAGGATCACAGGATAGTTCTGTCTGGGACAGACCTCAGGAGGTCTCTGGTCCAACCTCCTGCTCACAGCAGGTCAGCTCTGAGGTCAGACCAGGCTGCTCAGGGCTTAAAAAACTCTGAGGAAGGAGACTGCAGAGCCTCTCCGGGGAACCTGTACCACTACTTGACTGTCTTCATGGGGATGAAGCTTCTCCTTAGATCTAGGCTGAGCCTTTTATGTTTCAGTTTATGACTGCTGTTCTTTGTCTTCCTGCTGTGTACCACTGCGAAGAGCCTGGCTGTGTCTCCTCCATGATCTTCCCACAGGCACTGGGGGTTGCTGTTAGGTCCTCCTGAAGTTACCTCTGCCCCAGGCTGAATGAGCCCAGCTCTCCCAGCCTCTCTTCACAGAGTCTGTGCTCCAGCCCTACCATCTCGGGGGCTTCCACAGAAATCCATCCAGTTTGTCAAAGTCTGTCTTGTATTGCTGGGGCTCAAAACTGGATGCAGTATCTAAAGAACAGCTTTCTTGGCTTACTGGTCCATTCTCTACTTTGAAAAACTGTGCAGCATCAGCGCTGTATAAAAGCTGATCCTGGGAGGAACTGGCAGTCGTCTGGACAGATTCTTAAACACCTGCTCTCCTGAAGGGGAACAAGACTTGGTTTCTCATCTGCACTCTTGGGGACCCGACATGAACATGACATAACCAGCCACTGGGCTTGGAGCAGCTAGATGCAGAGGCAAAGCAAAGCTAGGGTGCAGCAGCTCCCTGGATCCTCAGCAGCCATGAGAACAGGGTGAGCTGTGCTCGCTTCTCGTGTTGTCCTGTTTCCCCAGACCATTAATAGGAAGTGCACTGCCTTTTATTTTAAGGGGACAAAGAGTTTTCTAGAAATACTCTTTTGAGAACTCTGGAGTTGATTTATTCTGTGCTTCCAGTTCTGGTGCTTTGTGAGTGGTTTTTTTGTTGTGGGTGAAGACTGAAAAAACATGATTTAACACTGACCAGGATAAACATGTGCAGTGTGAATGCTGCTTTTCCTTTAAAGGTGCCCTTAGACAATGGGAATTTGAGGTGAGGAAGTACCATCTGTTTGGTGGTGACTTTTTTGAAACAAACTCTGCTCAAGACTCTTATTTTCAGGCTTCTTTTTTTGCCAGGATGTTTGTCCAGGTATGCCTGTACTTCTACTGCAAATGCTTGTGGCGCTGCCTGAAATTTGTGGTCAGGAAGCTAACAGGTCGATGTGAATTGCAAAGGATCTGTTACAATACCAAACCTGGAGCTGCCAGAACTATGAAAATAGGTAACTGCACAATACTTTGTTTTGCATGCCATTGTACCCTTCTGCATGTGCTATTTTTATAGTGTGACTTCATTCTTATAAATAAATTGTTAAATCAATCCAGTATAAGCTTAGCTTGTCTGACATGATGCTTTCAAATACTATTCTCTTACAGAGGCATCATTGAAAGGTTCAAAAAGTAAGGTGAGTGAAAGATCTTGTCATTCACCTTTTCTGTTGTGTCCTGTACAGTTGGCTTATTCAGTCTGCTGTTTGCTCACCCTGAAAAAATCCCTTTAAGGTTTGATATGATTTTGTATTAAAACCATCTTCTACTGAAGAGGGTGCTGTGTCTGCAATAGCAGGTGATCTTGCAAAGTTAGGGAGAGTGTCCAGTGCTCCAGGGACAGGCACATTGTGGCCCTGGTGGAATCAAGGGAGAAACAGGCCATGGTGGAGACAAGAAGGGTGATGTGTTGTAATGTGGGCTTTCTTGGCTTAATTCGTCATCCGATCGTATGATTTCTGTAATGTGCAGTCAGTCACTTCACACCTCAGTTTTTTTGTCTGGAAAGCAGCGATAAAAGAGGCTGAAGGCAGCAGTACCTAGATAGCGGAGACGTCTTTGTTCTCTGCCTTCCTTTCAAATACGTTAATGGAGAAAAGCCTCTGTCACTTCATCCTTTCACTGTAGCACTGATTGTGCTAACCTAAATTCTTCTCATAAAGCATTTGTGTATATGTTAAGTAGCATCATTCAGCTGTTCATTTCTCTTTAGCATGAGAACCAGTGCAGTTGAAAAGCTTACCTCAGCATTAGGAAAAACGATGTCACATAGCTCGCAGTTCAACGTGGTGGTTCCAGGTGTACTTCTAGCACAGACAGAAAGGCAGAATCTTATTTAAAAACCTGCATTTAAGCAATTGTGTAGTTTTGAGGCAAAACACCAGAAAGTTCAACCTCTTAATTTTTTGGAAGACATGCTGATTTTTTGAATACTGAACTTTCGGCCGTATCTCTGCAAAGTGCAATGACATGCAAGAGAAAGGAAAAATGTTTTGCTGTGTTACTGCAATGTGTTGGGAAAGGGGTTGTCAAATGAAGGCTAGTAATTCCAGCGTAATTAGGTAGATGGTCTGAAGCTGTTTCTTAATCAAAGGCCTCAGTGCAGATCATCTTCACTGGAAACTGCCACGAAAATTGAATAAACTGACTACAAAGGCTTGGGGAAGCGACTCAAGTTCTTATGTGGCTGTTGCTCTGAAACTAGTCAGGAGGGTTGAATAGACTTGAAAGCTGTGTATATACATCTGTATATGTTCTGGGCTCTTAATCTAGAAGCTTTTGCGTATCGAATTTAACATTGTCAACTTCTATTGAATAATAGCTTCCATAGGAATTAATATGTGTTTAAAACCTCTTTTTAGCGTCTGCAGACTTCGGTAAGTGTTCACCCTGATGCTATTGAAAAAACTATAGATGACATCATGGAGCTGAAAAGGATTAATCCAGATATAAACCCACAGTAAGTTCATGGTTTCCTTACAAAACAAATGGGAATTATTGATTTCTTCATTGCCTATGTCCATGGAGAACTGGTTGTCCATAGCTATTGTGGCAAGCAATTTGAAGATTAATTCTGTCTCTCAGCATAACATGACAACTTAAGCTTTGTTGTCAAAAAGCTGATGAAAAAATGAATGATCCTTTACAGTGACTGTAATAGGCAAGTCCTGAGTCTCTTTATCTAGCTGCTTCCTGAATTGTGCTGTCTTAGTGTAGTGTTGATGCATTGGTTTTATGAGGGCCGTTTCCCCAGGGATAAAATGCCACCAAGGCGGGTGGTCCTACCAGCTACAGTGATGGCTTCTTAGCAAGTCTGTATGCAGTCTTTTGAGTAGGGAAGAAATCTTCCTGTTGTAACTGATATAAACATTGTACTGGTTTATCTTTTAAAACTGCTTTGAATTATCCAAACACATATTTTAACAATACAACATAGCTGATATCTTTTAATGCTATAAGATACTAGAAGTAAGAAGAGATTGACAACAAACCATTAAATTTACAAGCGAGTATTTTGAGAGTAGGTGGTAACATTTTTGTAGTTGCCTTACCTCTCAGCCCCTAGCTTAAAGTACAAGATGGTCTAGGTCGGGAATCAGTGGGAGAAATGTAGAGAGTTGTATGATTCGGGTGATCATCGCTCCTCTTCCCAAACTTGAAATTGATGTACATAATCCAAAATGGGCATCTGTAAATTGATACCTGCTTTTCTTTAAGTGGTCAGCAGCGTGAACAGGTAAGGTGTCCCAAGGTCTTGCTGCAACAACAAAACCCAGAAAACCAAAAGCTCAGTTGGAAAAATATAAATTATTTATTACAGGAATGACACGCACACCTCCCCCACGCCACACCCCCACAACACCTCCCCCCTGTGAAAAGGACAGTAACTGCGTAGTCTTAAAATGAGGCTTTGCAGATCATAAAGCAAATGGAGCACACTGTGTGTGTTTCTCCTAACCTGAGAGACAACTGTTGTGGACATGAGCACTGTCTGTCTGGATTGAAAAATGGCCCTTCAAAAATAAAGAAGGGAAGAAAGTAAGAGAAACAAAACAAAGAAAACCACTCCTTCTCACAGATCAGAGCTGTGTGAAGCTTTTCTGGGAATGGGCCCAGAGCTTTTCCAGGGGTGTCACTTCACAAGACCTTGCCCACGTGGCCTTCAAAGGGAGGGCGATGAAAGAGCAGCTGCTTCAAGTGGATGCGAGGCCATACTGAGAGGCTACTCATCAGAGAGGATGTCACAGCTCTGGTACTCTTGTATTGCACAGGATTCTGATAGCTGAAATTTGGAAAAAAATCAGTGATGGCAAAATTAGTAGTGGTGACATAGGAGGAAAAACTGCAGGATGTAAATGTGCACAGCTCAGAGCCTGGCCTGTGGACATCAGTAAGTGCAACATAAGCAATCAGGCTGACTGAAGTACTCTCTTCTCAGTGTTGGACCCTTGGGTAACTGGGTGGAATAATGCCAAGAAAAAACAAGGAATTCATTACAGTAGTATTTTGTGTGACACTGAAGATCCCTGATTCTCCTCATGGCATTGCCTTTCACTTCTGAAGAAATGCTATCTTCCAGGAGAGAGAGAGTGCAGAGGTGCAAATGACTTCTGCTTGTTTGTATCAGACCCCCAAACCTTAAGTTACATTTTGAGTGATCTAGTCCTAATATTAAAAGAAAAATAAAAAAACAAACTTAAAAACCCCCAAAACTTAAAAAACATAAAAACAAAGCTAATTTTGTGTTTAATCCAGGTGGTGTTCATAAGCTTAGCACAGAACAAAAGCATAATTATTTTTAGACTAGAATCCTTGCACTCAGCATTTTACAGTTGCATCTTTCAGTTGTCACCCCAGTTTGGTGAAATATCTTTTCAAAACAGTGAGGAGTGAGGGCCTGGGATGTTCAGGCTGGTGCCACATGTGTAGAAACACACACTGCCACTAAATTGCTCTTTATATTAAATTGATCATAGTTCTGCTAAACTTTAAACAACTGCACTGAAGTTTTACGTGTGAGCCATTTATTTTCTACAAAGTTTTCTGGACAAATTTCAGCAAAAGCAGGTGAGCCATTTCTTCAGACAGGATTAAAGAAAATCCACTGGATTGCCTACTCTTGAACATAAAAAACCCTACATCCAGACTGTCTTGTTTAGAAGCTCTGGCCTTCCCTTGCATAGTGGAGACTTGAAATCTCCTGGGGTAAGGACAAGGGGACATGTGTCGTACTGTATGTGTTTCTGCAAATCTGTATGCAGTCATTTTTGTTAATGTAGCATCTTTGCAGAGCTGAACTAGCATCCCAGGGGTATTTGCACTGCGCTGTTCTTGAAGGCTGTGGGCTGCCGTGACCTGAGGCCCACAGTAATTTCCTTTTATCAATGCCTCTGAGATCAGTGTGTATATTTAGTGGTGGGAGCAAGTAGGTTGAGTAGCCAGGTGGTGACACATGCAGTCTACACTGACTACAGAAGCAGGCCATGAAATACTCCCAGTTTTGGACTCCTGTCCATCGCATGGATCATCTGGAGCTGAGTGTGAGGGTGCAAGCCCAGGCAGGTTGCTCCTGTGCTCTTGAGAACTGCCACCGCCAGCACAGTGGTGGCAGGGAGGAGGTGTGGGGCATCAGCAGCTCACCCACATCCTCTGCTTGGCAAGGAGGACAGCAAAAGCTTAATGAAAAGGAGAGCAGCGAAACTACTTCCACCCCTCCACGCCCACCCTCCATGAATAACGTTGTGGCTTGCTTTGTATATGTTGTGTAACTTTTTTTTTTTTAATATAAAATTGCTCTGCTTTGCCACTGTGGTCTTCTGCTCTAAACTACTCTGAGGTTACAGAGTAGTTAAAAGCATGATGGCTTGGTTTAGTGATGCACTACAGCAATTCACATGCAGTCTTCACATTTCAGCTTTCTTTGAAATGCAGCCTTTCTGTACAACTGTAGGCTATAGCGAGTGAAGCATGTAAAAACAGCAAATAGCAAAGGATGGAAAACACTGCAGAGGATGTTCTGAAAGGATTATAGCCACAAATAGCGTGAAATTGCAGCAAGAGACATGGCCTAATGATGACATCTGTGATTCTGTTGATTAATCTCAAAAGATAAGCAGTGAAAATCCTTCTGCTCAGAAAATTTAACTGTATTATTGAATAAACAAAATGTTTCAGTGTATCAAACAAGACAGATGAGGAACCTGCGCAGCCCGTGTTCCACAAAGGAATGAGGGTACAGATTTAGCTGTGCCCTCCAAATTCATAGTAGGCGTTCAGATAATTTCAGACATTATTAAAAATTAAAGGGTTTAGTCCCATATATAATTAAATATCCTTATGAGCATGGCAGTTGTGTACTGCAGAAGTTGTATTTAATATTATAAAATCTTAACCTAAAACTGAGTAAGCTGTTGTAATTTAAAACATTGGAAGCCACATGTTTGGTGGGTTTTGGTGTTTTGTTTTTTTTTTTCTTTTATTTAGTTTTTTGGGGTTGGGGTTTTTTTGTGTGGTTTTTGTGTTTGGTTTGTTTTTTTGAAATGATGCATCGGGAAATGTAAAATCTGCATTATAATGAAAAGAGAGCTATTATGGTGATTCTTAACATGAGACCAAAAAAGCCATTGCCTAGAGGCAGATCTTTGAACTGTGTTACTTTGGGTTTTTCACTTCTTTATGCTAGCTTTTGTGGCATGGAAGTAAAATGAATATTTTTAGCTTTTTGCTGAGTTTCATCTCCTCCTCACCCCGTTTGAAGTTCACGTCTCTGGTCTCAGGGCGTGTTTTGAGAAGCTGTCGTTTGAATGAGGGGAAAGATTCAGTGATGTGCTTGTTGCAGGCTTTCAACGCTGCTGTGTATAGTTATGAGATTTCAATGTGAAAATTCACTGTTCAAAGTTTTTAAAAATCCCATTTTTTATCATCTAAGGAAGCCACTAAATAAGACTATGCATTCTACAAGGCCTTGTTTAGTGTAAAACTGATCTCTTGGAAATTCTCCTGTTGTAATTAAAGTGTTAGACTATTGATTCATTGATGTAACATTACTCATGTGAATTAGACGGGTGTGTACACGGTAGTGCTGTGTCATGGCTACTCAATAGTTGGATTATGTTGCTCCTTTCCTACGCCTCAGGTTGGGAGTATCTCTTCAGGCATGCCTGCTGCAGATTGTGGGGTACAGAAATCTGATTGCAGAGGTTGAAAAGCTGCGCAGAGAGCCGTACGATTCAGAGAATCCACGACATGAGGAAATGCTTCTGAAGGTAGGTGCTTAAGAGGCACTTGAAGGGTATCCTTTATTCATGTCAGCTCCAAACAGCCTGGCTTATAAACCTCTTTAAAACATAGATATTGTCGCCTTCCTCCATCGTGCACCTGTTTAAAGATAAGGCTGTACAGCATATTAATCTGGTTGGGGTGTAACACCTGCCAAACAAGTGGCTCACTCCCTGGTTGATCATAGAATGGTTTGGGTTGGAAGGGACCTTATAGATCATCTAGTTCCATCCCCCCTGCCATGGGCAGGGACACCTTCCGATAGACCAGGTTGCTCAAAGCCCCATCCAACCTGGCCTTATTGATGAATACATGTCCTTTGGCTGGACTATATCTAGGCGCTGGATGCACAGCTCTCACTGCAGGTAACAACTCTGTGCTATGATCTCTGGAAAAATAGCACTATGTCCTACTTCAGAACACCTTTCTTCAATGTGAGAAGGGTATTTTTCTTTCTTAACCAGAATAAACTTTTTTTTTCCTTCAATTTTTTGTATTTTTGAAGATATTTTCTGTGTATCTCAATGGCACACCTCTAGCTTTCATTGTGTGAGATGGAAGAGTGGGAGGTGATGACTTACACATTTATATTTACCAAATATATTTTCAAGTGAAAAGAAAATGAAACCATTCTTTAGATAATACATGCAGAGTGATGGAAACCATACCAATTGGGTTTTATTTACTTCGTGCTTCCAGGAAAGCCTTGCACTGGAACAGATAATAAAAGTATTTTTTTCAGGAAGATGATCTTGAAGCCATAAGCAGAGGGAGAGCTAGAGAGCTCTTATATTAGAAAAGAATTGGAGAGAGAATAAAGGGGGTGGAAAATAGTGTAATAGCAAGTCCCAGTATTACTTCTGATCTGGTTTCTGACCGTAGCTAGTGCAAGACACTTCAAAGAAAAAGCGAGAAACATAGAATAGTGATAGTGAGCTTATCTACAAGCAAAATGCCTTCTTACAGAATTTTTAGAGGTCTTGTAAGAATATACTACCTGTTTGGTGTGGGTTTTTTAATTATTTTAAGCGTAAATATTGAAAACTTAGACACTACCTGTGCCTCTGCTCCCACCTGACTTTGGCTGGGATTTCTACAGCACATGATGATGAATCCGTCTCCCACACTCCAGCTTGCAGTGTAGTGCTTTACACAAGTTACAGTGGCAGCTTCTGGAAATTTTACTTTAGTTACTTGGGCTTCCAGGTGCTTCCAGAAATCCCAGTAGGCGTCTTATATAAGTACTTACAGATGCAAATAACTGTTTCTAAAAAATGCCTCAAATGGTCAAAGAGTGCCTGTAGGTGTCTGCAAAGCTGTCTTCAAGGTTGGCTCCTTGCTGGGAGGTGGGAGTCTTGCAAGGAGTCGTCAAAATCCAGAGCTGCCCCTGAAGGAGTGTTCTAGCTGCCAGGTAGGATGGGGCAGATGGGCTCCTCCTGCTAAAGTCCTGCCCCTGTGCAACCAAAGGCACACATTTCTGGGGGTAGAGTGGGCTTTAACTAAACGGTCACACTTATTTACCCAGTGAGGAAGCTTGTGTCTTGGAGGTGGGAGATCCAGGTGCCAGCCTGCAATGTTGGTCCCTGAAAATGCCAGGTACCTGGCTGCAGGCTTAACAAGGGCCTTTGGCTCTAGGAAAGCATTCCTAAATACACTGGGCATCTACACTGTCCAGAGAGCAAGAAGGTGAGTCTGAGGACGGGCAAGAAGCACCAAGGAGCTGGCTGTGGTCTGCTTCCCGGCCTCTCAGCCTGTAAGGGCAAGGTCCTGGTTCTTACATGCTCCCAAGAATGATGTCGGCAATGATGTGTAGTCACATAAGTGCTTTAAAAACATAATTGCATGAGAATAAAAGCAGAATGGAAACTGATTCATAATGTTGAAGAAAGTATCAGTTTCGCCATCTGCCTCCAGCGTAACCTGTGTATTAGCACTTGTTTACAGCAGACGTTTTGCTTTTGCGAATTACTCTTGTCAGATGGCAGTATGTCCAAGGGCTTAATTCAGTTTCCAGTCCATGCTGGGGAAGAACAGGCCGGTTAGTTTTCATTCCTTCTAGGTATTCTGCTAAGTGATCTCTGCAATGGGTAATTCAAGTTCCTAATGTTTATTATTTATTCATGTTTACCAGGAGGGCACTTTATGAATGAGAGAAAGATTAACTTAATGTGATTGAACTAATGAATAATACTGTATTTACTGTTGATGGATGAACAAGAAAGATAGCAAATATGATTTACAGGTATCAAATGTTTAAATCATATTTGCTTTTCACGGCATCACAATGATGCTTTTTGCAGTCGTTACAAAGTGAAATCATTAAAGTTTTAATCTTCCTAAGACAATTTATTTTAAATGCAGTTAGAGTTGCTAAAATTAATACAATTTCTGTGTTGTTTCTTTGGGAAATAAATGTGCATACAGCTCTTGCCCTTCAGTAGGCTTTGTCTAAATATATTTCTTGAGGCCTTACTCATGAACACATGGTTTATGGAGAATACCTGATTTCTTAATACGCTTTGGAAAGGGTGAGTTCGTGATGTGGCATGTGAGGTTTTTTGGAAAGGCATGTATTTGTCAGATACGTCAATTTAGGCTGCTTTTAGGTGCCTAGCAACACGATATTTAGGCACTGAAGTCGCTGGACCAGTGCAGCTAAGTGGATTTATTCCAGCTGAGGATCTGGCTTGTTAAATCACTTTGTCCTTCTTTTATGTGAGATCAATGAATGATTTGCCCCTCAGTTAAATAAGAAGGTGGCACATGCAATTCTTGTATGGATTTTTTTTTTTTTTTTTTTTTCTCCGATTTGCTTTTCAGCACTGTGGTTGCCAAGTCGGCACTCTTGATTTATAACCCTTCCAGAGGCTTGCAAAAGATGTGGGAGATAAGATTGCTGCAGAGCCTCAGGGACCTGATGGCTGATTCCCTGCTGCTCTGTCAGTGATTTACAACCAAATTCCAGCCCATTCCTGTCTCCATGCTTATGGAGGCAGACACTAGTTTGATGCACAGAGCGTGAACAAAACGAGTCCCTGTGTGAGATGTTACAGCAGCTGCAGAGAAGGTCAGAAGGGCCTTGTAGGGCTGAAACAAGTGCAGTATTTAAGAGTGGTTTGAGATTTCCCGCTCCTCACCCCTGGGAATTTCATTTGCCCTTGTGTTTGGGTTCCTGGGACAGCAATGCCATCAAATTACATGAGAAATTAACTTGGTTTACAAAGAAGAAGAACCCGTGCTAATGTGTAGAAGTTTAATTATATTTTACCTGTAATCTTCCTAGTTGTGGAAATGCTTGAAGCCTAATTCGCCACTGAAAGCTCGGATTTCGAAGCAGTGGTGTGAAATTGGTTTCCAAGGTGACGATCCTAAAACAGACTTCAGAGGGATGGGTCTCCTGGGCTTATATAACTTGGTGTAAGTATGCTCCTCTGTAGATGGATTTATGTGTGTCTGAAGTCAAGAAAAGCAGCATGACTTGAGGATTTTTAGCAAGTCTGCGGGAATAACTTATAAAAGTGTTACGGACTTCATATCAAAAACTGAAATAATTTATTTTCTAGGCCAATTTTTGAGGGGTTTCCCTTCTGAAAGGGATCTCCTTTCTTACAGTATTCTTAATCCAACTTGGTAATACCACTTGCTAAGCCTTTTTTAGTTTCTCTATGACACAGTAAGTTAACACTCTCTTCCCCCAAGAAAGAAACTGTTAAGTATGTTCTCACCAATATCTAAATCTCCTTAAACAAAATGCCCTGGAAGTGGGTGAGTGGAAGGGTTATGTTACCGCTGTTTAGGAATTTTGTGCTGAATTCTTAGGCAAAACACTTGAAATGCAGCCACTGATGGTAGACTTCTGTAGCTGGACTACTACTTCAGTTTTTGTCAATACCCAAAATTAAGCAGTGAGTTTACATCACTATTCCCTTCCACGTCATACACACCAGGTGTTGGTACCATACCTCTGGTTGGTTTTGGGGATCGGTCAGTACCTGTTATTTCCTCCATCCCTTGTATCTACTGCAGGTAGTAACTTAGAAACGCTAGGTAAAATAACCTCTCCCTATGAGGAGAGAAAGGAATATTTTCTGCCTTTGCAGATTGGAGGACTTAAGTAAGTCATCCACTGTCCATGTGTTGTTCTTTAGCAAAACTCAGTTGTGGATCTGGGCTCTTGACTCTTTGAACTGCTGTTGGAGATTAATCCCTACCATGTATTTAATTTCTTAAAGTCCTGCGATGATTCTTGTCTTGTTTTAAGAATCTACCAGATCAAGAAGCCTTAACTGCTTTCTCTTGAGCTAAGCAGCCAGCATGCTCTAGCAGTAAGCAACTGCTTTTCTGTAGGGTGGGTGGAAAGGGGACTCTGGTAATGCACATTCACTAATTGCTTATAGAATTGCACTTGTAATTTGAGGCTGCTTTTATCTTTCATTTTGGGGGTACAAGTGGTAGCGTAATGAATTTTAACATGTTAAATGCTGCTCATACTGCATAACATATGTAGTGACCTTTAAAAAGGTGTGTATGGACAACTTGGTATGACTTAAGATGCTTTTTTTGTTGTTTCTTTAACAATTCACCCTAAACATACATATCTGCAGGTATTTTGCCGAATGGGACACTGAGATAGCTCAGCAAGTTCTCTGTGATTCTCTTCAGCCCAAATACAGGTAATGCTTGAGATCAGAAAAAGTAACTTCAGAGCGCACTGTGCTGGCTGGTGTTTTGGGGAGGGGGCTGGGTTTTTTTTCTTTTTGTTGCGCATATGTTTGGGTATTGCCACATGCTAGCTGTTTGCAAGTGCTGATCCTGAAAACTGATCAAATCCAAGAGGCAAACGTGTATTCTTAATCTTAGAAAGAGTTAAACTTAGTGTCAAATGTTTTCACTTAACTTCTAATTTCAAGTGATTTTTATTTACCTTTCTATGTATTTTTATTTACCTTTCTTTTTGTCTTTTCATAATGAAGGGAAGTCACTAAGAAGGAACTAAGGTATTTTTTTTTCTTTTCTCTTAGTTTTATGAGACCCTACACATAAATAAAGATCAAACCATACTGCAGTTTGGCATGTTATAAACTGAAAGTCTGTTGCAATACCAAGAGATCCGTATTCCTTTCTCTAAAGTTAAACCAAGCATAGCTGATGGTGCAACACTGGGTACATCTGAGCATGCATATATATATACAAGGAATGAAATCGACCTTGCTTGATGTAGCTAAAGCACTATATTTTACACCTATTTAGTACCAGGCTTAGCCAACAAATTTTGGGCGATTTTTAACTGTAAGAAAGAAGTCTAAGCAGTGCCACTATGGTCACAACAGCTGTGAGTGACTTGATAATCAGAAGTAGCCTATGTTTGTTAGCACAGTTGAAGAGCCCCTTGATTTATAATCACATACTCTGGCTGCCTTGACTGGTGATGGGTCTAATTTGGCTAGTCCAATGTCCTGACTGCTGAGAGATCAGGTACTTTCAAGTGGCAAAAATTCCGTGTTGTGAACTATTTATGAATAGGAGATGTATTCCATAATTATTGAGGGGCGGGGGGACAGCACGCACAGAAATGCCTCATAGCCAGTTACAAGCTAATGAGTTGCCTCCAAAGACTTTTTTCTTTTGCCAGTGGCGCTAGATATCCATATAACAGGTCCACATCTGAATCCTGTGAAGCTTTTGATCTCCTCAGTATTTTGTGGCTAAGTTCCCAATGGTGATTCTGTGACAAAAAGCACTTGGAGGGTTGGGGGCAGTGTAAACCAACAGACTTTTAGCCTGAGAGTCAGCCCTCTGACTGCTTTATCTGGAGTTACTTTTATATATTGGCATTCACTCTCTTCCTACAAGCAACCCCCACAATTTCAGTCTTGCCTTTATGTATTGTGTTGCCCATGGATGATTTTTGTTAGTGTATGCTGATGAACAGGGATTGTCATGATGCTTAAGCAGCATTATAGAAAATAGCCTAGATTTTTGTTTAACTGAACTCTTATGTGGGAAAACAATATATATTACCCAGAGGCGGAGTGTTTTGTGCTGGGACTGTGAAGCAGGGAATGCCGTTAGCGTTCTTCGTTTACATGTTTGATTACCAAGGACCATCTTGGAGTGCTGTGTGAGCATGTGCAATTTCTGTCCCTTGAAAGAGCATCTGGTAGAACATAGATGCTGCTGGTGGTGCCTGTGGTGTTCTTCCTGGTGTGGTTGCTTAGCAGCCATGCTGGCTTCTGATGTGATCATGATCAATGTAGTTTCTATTTCTGTTAAACTATATTGCTTGTCCCCGTCCTACATGTGCCACCTTTATTATTCAACATTTGCTTTGTTTTTTTTAACTGATGTTATGCTGCAGCCTACAAAGATGGCTAAGATTTTAAAGAATGAGTATATTCCTGTACGCCAAGCCATTAAAGAGGAGAAGTTTTGTCCTCACACATGCCACCTGGTAACACTCAGGTCAGGATGGGTACAAACCTATTAGCATCTTTAAAACTTGTTGCCATGAAGTGTTAAATACCATATTTATGTGAAGTTCAGGGGATTGTCTTCAGTGTGATATGTGTTTATTGTTTTTCAAGTATAGTCCAAAGGAGACACTTTTGCACATAGCTGTCTATAATTTGGGATCTAAACCCTGCAAGCTCTGATTTGCTTGACTAAGGCAGAACTCCCACAGACGTGTCTAAGTTGTAGCCCACTGGTTAGGGTTGTTACCCTGCCTGCTTTTAGCCACTGATAAATGCAGGCAGTGATTTCTGCTAAAATCCCGCCTCCATTCGAGTAGGCACAGTTAAAGCCTGGTTAGTGGGATGTCAGCTGACTGGTTGCATCAGGAAGCTCTTTTAAATGAAAATTTTGAACAGAAATTTAATCTAAAATTAAGCAGTTCCCTGAGTAACTCTGTTTTAAGGGAGGGACCTTCTGTGTCCTTGAAAAAGTCTACATTATTGTGCCAAACAATAGGAAATACTGTTCCTTACTTTTGGCTGCTGTATGGTTTCCAATTTGGCTGGACATAAAAACTTTCTAGTAAAGGAGTATTTTTTATGTTTGCCTCCTCAGGTGAATCATGCCTCCAGTGATGAGCATCACATTTATCTTCAAGAACATAAAAGGCTAAAATAATCTTTGATTAGTTAAAAGAAATGTAATATTTTCAACTTTTTGTGTAGCTCAGACTTAATTGAGGTGGATCATCTTTGTGGCCAATATAGCAGACAACTGGCTTTTGCTGAGAGCATTGATAGAGACGCATACTTTGTAATGATGAGAGAAGTTTATCAGCAATGCAATAAAGCCAGTTGCCCATTTCAAGTCTTTTGATACCAAAGTGCAGTCAGAAGCAGAGTTAAATGTGATTAGCCATATCAATGGAGGTAAAATACCCTGTTCAGTTAATGTTCTAATATCAAAGAAATTGAAAGAAAATATTTGTCAATTAGCGATGCATGGCAATATCTGGACTTTTTTCCCCCCACTGCAGCCAATTCAGCAAAGCCGAATGGGAGAAGAAGAAGTTTGATAAGGCAATCGGGTAAGTTTTAAAATCTTCTTGAAGCTACCACAAACACGACAATGATGCTGTATATTTGAGGGGAAAAAGGTGTTTCCTGGTCACTTTTTAAAGCAATTTTCAGTGTGCGTACTAACATGTATTGTCTTAACCACAGCTTGATTTTGATCAAACATTACAGGAAAAATAATTTGAAGTAAGAATTAGGAAAAATAATCCAAAAATGCTGTAGCAAGGAGAGGCTTTCTGTCCCTGCTGTGAATAGTGCAGTGATGAATATCTGTTTAATTCTTTTTAAGATATAATGTGATCAAGTTTCACTTCTTATTGTCAGAGACAGGTTCTGATCTGCTTTCAGGAAAGTATAATAGGAAAGAAATGGTAGTGAGTTTTTTCTCTTCTTAAGCAGTGGGTTTGATATAGCTGCATTATTCATGAGTATGGAACTGGATGTTCCTTATGAGTGTATCTGAAAATCGGTAATACAACATTTTAATGCTCATATTTAATTTTTCTGTGAAACTTGCCATTAGGCCTCGTGTTGCAGTTACCTTCCTTTTTTCCTTTCTTTTTTTCCCTCCTGAATTATGTCAAAGGTTCAGAAAAACGGAAAGTGTTTTGGTTTGCTTGATAGAGATAACAGAAAAATTACCTAGAATAATCAACAGAATACAGCTGTGTTTAGAAGGGGGAAAAAAAATCACTATATAACTAAACAAGTTTGCTTTTATCGCTAAATGCCAGTGTGGGACATCATGTTTTCTTGAGAAACAGTCACTGCCAGAAATGTCAAGTTCTTTATGCAACAGGCTCAGAAATCAAGAAAAAACTTCCAATTTCTGAGTTCTGTTGTGACTAAATGTACTTTCCTTGTTGATATCTCTTAATAGGACAGAATTTTGCTTCGTGAGTCTGATTTTTCTGTTTTCTGATTTCTGTTTCCAGCATGCTCTGATTTGGTTTTTGCCTGTTTTCTGGCCTGTGTATCTAGTTCTCTGTTAGAAAGAAATTGGAGGACTCAGCTGGATCTTTTTCACAGGCTTTTTAGCCACATGAATGTCTTTATAGGACTGATTGCTGAACCCTGGTGTTCCTAACTGTGGGTGATAAATTCCACTTGGGCAGATGGGTTAAAATACCAAATGATGGGTCACCTTGCAGATACAGCCACGATGTGGAGTGCTTGCCCCATGTCAGAGGCGGGTGCAGGAGCACAGGGATGCCTGAGCTTGTTCTTATTCTGTAGGAATGGATCTGTGCTGCTCCACTGAAAATGTTGGCACAGTGATGAAACTCCTGTTTTTGCTGTGACCATATGTTTCACAAGGGAGACACTGCCATTAGAGCGTATGAAGCAGGCAGGATAAATGTTTTTCTTGTTTTCCACACCCCCGCCTTGGAAGCTCACAAGGGAGAAAATTAATACACCTCAGTAACACACAATCTGCCGTGTCAGTGTCATCAGTGTTTCTTATAGTGTGCTGAAAGAAGACAAACTTTCCACAAATGTTGCTGCTTCTTTTTCTTACAGCTATTCTTTTGCTATCGTGGGCATTAACATAACAGATCTTGCATACAACCTGCTCGTGAGTGGAGCTCTGAAGACCCATTTCTACAATGTTGCCCCAGAAGCACCAACACTAACTCACTTTCAGCAGACGTTCTGTAAGTGGTGAGCGGGGGGGAAGGAATACATAATTTATACACCTGCTAACGCTTTTGTACTACCCATACTTTAAAAAACAAAAACAAAAAACAACAAAACTGATGCTGACACAGCACAGAGACTATCATGCTAGTCTTGTTCTGTCTTTAGGATACTTGGACTCAGTTCTTAGTTGTGATGGATGCCACTGCCAAACCAAAGAGTAAAACAAACGAACAATAAAACAAAAATCCTCCAAGGGCCTGAACAAGTCACCTTCCTATCTTCTAGACTGGTTTTAAATAATAGTAAGAAACTAAAGGTACTTTAAAGAATTTCTGGAGAATGCTTCCCCGTAAGTCCAACTGTCTTAACATATCTGTGTCTACATTCAAGTGTTACCCTCCACCTTTCAGTAGAGTTATCTCCCCTCAAAATAATGCTTTCCCAGCCCTTTCCTCTGTATCTGAGCATCCCTTCCACAGCACAGACATGCTGTGCATCCTTGCGCAGTGGGAGCAATACTTCTAATATCTTTCAATGTATAGGCAAGAAATGGAGAACATGAAGTCAGGATGCACTGTTTTCCACATTTATGACAATTGCAAAGGTTTTGGTTGGTTCGTTCGTTTTTGGGGTTTTTTTAAGTTTGGCTATTTGGGTAACAGATTTTTTGTTTTGCAGCTATAGTAAGTTCTTATTGCTTAATTGGATAAATGACAACTATTAGTGACCAGTGCACCTCTTTCATTAACTAGCATAGGCTTTTCAGAACAAGGATGCTATTTAATAAGACTCATTCACCCAAAATCCTATGTGGGCAGATACCATACTGTAGCAGGGCTCTCCCTTTTGGTGATGGTTTCTGGGTTGCTGCCCTAGATAGACTGGCTGACCAGCATGGCCAGTCCATCACAACAATGCTGGAGGGAGAGCTGATTTTGACAGCTCTTCCCTCTACAGCCCATGCATGTATGAGTTATGCAGTGGGATAAAACTTGCATGGGTCTCTGGTGTAGTGGTGGGCCAGTAAAGGTGGCGGATGATCCTACAACACTCTGCCTGCCATCCTAGGAAAAACTTGAGTTTATTGAATGGACTTTATTGTAGAGAAAGCATCAACGGACAAACTTACCTGGAGCAAGGACAGTTCATCCAGAGACTACCTGTTTGAGTCTGACAAATACCCGCTCTTATGCTCTTGCAGTTTCTCTCGTCTCCCTCCCGCAGTCATCCTAGATTTCCTTCAAATCTCCTTCAAACCCAGATGCCATTAAGCTCATTAAATGCCTACAGGCTGCTTGACTGAACTGGAAAGTCAAAATTACACTACCCAGCCAGCAGCCTTGCTGGTAGAGGAACACAGCGGTTGTACTGCATGGACCTCCTCAATGCTAATCCACCATGTCACCAGGCCATGGGGACACACACAAAGCTGGCAGTTGCGTTTGGCCCACTGCTTCTGGGCTCTGTTGCCTTCTCTAAAGATCTAACAATGTTTTACATTTTTATGTGGTGATTTTTTTTTTTTTTAAAGGGGCTTTACTGACTTTGTCTTTGGAAGTAACATCCCTTGGAATGAAACAGCCTGTGGCTGTTGGACTGTATGGAAGAGATTTGCAGATGTACTTAAAGTACCTTTTGAATTAAGTTTCTCAAATTGATGACTATGCAAATATACCTTGAAATTTCAGATTAGGAGTACCTGTGGTGTAATTGTCATACAATAGAAATAAATTGATAAAAGCAATTGAGCCTTTTTTACAACAAGTGCCCTCACTTTCTGGAATACAGAAGACTTACTTGCACATTTTGCTATGTTGGGATGAAAGATTATGCTTCCTGAATGGTTCATCTGCTGTGGAAGTTGGGAGCAAGAGGTTGAGTTCAGTTTACTGAAGTCCTAGTGTTGGATGTAGTGTTTTTCCTGTCAATGGTTCCTCTTCGAGTCCAAGGATGGCACAGAACTGAGAGGGTAGAGGCCTTAATTGGGGGCTGTATATTAAAGTCACCATGGGATCAAGTTTCTTCCTAAAACAGGGATATCTTACCAAAGCGGGTGGTTCTGTGTATCACCTTCTCCTTCTTCTTTCCAGGATCGTAGCCATAAGTGTTAAACATTTCCAGCAAGGTCATGCACACACAAGGTAAAATTGTGCACGAGGAGGAAGTGTTAATGCAGAAGGGTGTGATGGCAACTGTGATGTTACCTACCAGCGCACCCTGTTTCGGTGGAGAGTAAGCAATCTTCCCACGAGGAAATACCTGTGAGGCAGAACTTGAATCTAATCAAAAGGCTGGTGGAGCAGCATCTTCCCCTGCTTTTACATTCATTAGTTTAGTGTTTTAGTTCATTTATCCATATGTCAAGGCACTTAGTGATTTCTTCTGTTTATTGGGAGAAGTTCTGCCAATGGACAACATTCATCAAATTTTACGTTTGTCCAAAATGGCAAGATGGGTTTAGCCTTATCCTTGCCTAGTGCTGTGAGATGTCAGATACTGGTGACCAGGATTCTCTGTCTACGTCATAATTGTTCATTTCTTTCTAATTTTGTACATGACCTTTACATACCTTATTTATCTTTTTCCTTCTCCTTACTTTTGTGATTTTGTAGGCTACTTAATGCATGAATTCCACAAATTCTGGATTGAAGAGGACCCACTGGACATAATGGAGTTCAACCGTGTCAGAGAGAAATTTCACAAGCGAATCTTGAAACAGCTCCAGAACCCAGAGATGGCTCTGTGCCCTCATTTTGCTGCATCAGAAAGTTTAATCAATATGTAGTTGCTCACTCAATTTTATTTGGAAACACTGTCTCACTCTTGTGTTAAATCACTGCTTAGACCATCGCTAGCATACTGAATGACCATGGCGATTGTATGCATGTTTTTGGTGCAGTATCATCTATTTTTGTCACATGTACCAGATCCCCTTATGCTTCTCGTGTTGGGGATTTCTCATTTTAAATGGGTGCTCATATTGCGGCATTATGCAGTGTTACATTCTGAATTGATGTCTGGAGATCAGAGTTTTTCTATTTTTTTAGACTTTCTTCATAAATTCAGCATTGACAATTGAATTGTATTTCTCTAGCTGTGTTTTTGTATATGTGGAATAAGTAGCTGGATCTTGTATTGTGAAAGCTTTTTAACTTCTTGGTATGTTTTAAGACAACTACTGGCATTTCAAGCAAAATATATGTTTGAACCGCGTCTAGAAGATAATGTGTGTAATTTAATCTGATGCAGGCAAACACATTAAAGTCCAATTTTCTCCATGCAGCCATATATGCTTAATGCAGAATTAATGAGGCTTAGGAGGTACAAGTTTCAGTGAGAAGAGTTTATGCAGAATTGCAATCAGATTCCACAGCTGCATGAATACCAAATGGTCTGGTGATGCTAATACATTCACAGTGAACTGCAAACACACGCACAACTGCTGGGTACTGGCAGGGGCCAAAACTGCTATCATCAGGCTGTTGTCACCAACACTGTCATGCTGAAGCATGGTCTAAATTCCTCCACATTCCTTTGAATATACAGGGATTAGTGTTCTGTGTCGCATGTTGGATGGCAACAGGATTTGGTCACATCGTGGTTGGTGAATTCAGGGGAGCAAAAATATTTTCCTTTTTTTTTTTTTTTTTTTTTAAACTACTGGAAATGTTGCTTCGGTTGTCAGTTCAGTTCCTAAGAACTGGGAGAAATAACTGATTCGGGGTTTAGAGCAAAACCACTTCAGTTTCCCAGACTACTTATTAAAAAAAAAATGGCAAACTGCCTTTTTTCTAAAAATGAAGAAATGAAAGTGTCTGATGCTAAGATTGTGTAGTATATTGAACAGCATCTACCATGGCATTTCATACCCATGGTATTTTTTACCTTCTAAGCAATCAATTTTAGTATTATATGTTTGTGTAAATCGCATATGGAGATTAAATTGAGTAGTGTCCAACTACTTGTGAATTATATGAATAAATTATATGTCATTCTAAACTGAAGCACTGTGGGTTTTATTTTGGAGATATGCAATAATACAGATAAAAGCTATTTTACTTTAGTGGGTCAGGTAAAACGGGATGTAACAGCTTTGCTGTGGTATTTCCCTAGTCTGAAGAGTGATATGTACTTCCTCAGATCAGGTGCTTTGTACCATTTCTGGTTACAGCTTGGGCCATCACTTAATAAGTAAAAAAATAATGCAAAGGGAGTGGTTACATTTCTTGGGAAACTCATTTTTCAGTTTAAGCCTCTCATTTCTTTGATTGAATGTGAGGTGGGGATAAGGACTGCTCTGCAGGGCTGGAAACTTGCACTCATTGCCCAGTTAATCGTCAAAACTCTAAGGGTGTTGCAATAATTAGTCTTCTCCAGTGAATTTGGAAATACGGAACTGGAAATATTAACTATTGCATATTTTGCGTGAAAATACAAGGAATAAAAATGTGCATGTTTAACTTGCTATCATTGATTTTGGAAAGTGGTTATTTACAATCATTAGATATGGAGGACTTTTTTGCGTCGCTCTTGAAGCTTCTAAAATAAGTTTCTAGCAACAGTTTGCATTGTTTCAATCTTGGTCTCGCACTTTCCTTCCCTGCCCCACTCTGACTGAAATACATTCTGCAGTTTGTGAGACTGCTGGTTTATTTTTAACACTCTGCACTGGAGTTGGTGGAGTTGCGGGGAAAAGAGGACACGAAGGTCCCTGCTACCTTCTTACTGGTGTGATCCTCTCAGTTGTTACGCCTTGTCTCAAGGTGTCAGCTTCAGATGAAATCAGAAAATGTCATCTGGCTCCACGTCAGACTGTGTCACTATAATCTAGCTGCTTTGGGTGATTGCTTTCCTGTCTTGCAGGAAGATGGATTTAATGAAGCGAAGTGTGAAATTCCTGCTCCCGTGGAGACCCTGCATGCTGGTGCCTACAGATCTGATCGTACTGCCCGCTCGTGCTTCAGCTTCGGCCTGGGACATCTTTGCTCTCAAAATGCTTGTTGAACCCAGGGCAGAGAAGGTCCCTGGTGACTGCCAAACTGTCTGTCTGCTGCTGGGGGAGGACGGCTGCCTGGCACTGCGTTCCTTCTTCTCCAGGAATGGCCTCTTACTATAATGCAAACCTAAACTTTTCTTTTAAAAAATCAGAATTTACACTATCACTGAACCATCTCCAAACTGGCCTGTGAGGAGTTGGACGCTGCTTTCCCTAGGCAGGAGAAAATGAAAGAAGTGGCAAAAAATAAGTGTGTAAAAGGTTGTTTCAAGAAAGCAGAAGCAATATTTATACTCACCACAGGGTGCAGGTTTTGGTTTAATTAAGAGTAGAGAAGATTTAGGTTGGATCTTCTGAAAATCTCTTCACAGCCTCATGGTTGCTGACTCCTCCTCTCCCGGGGGCTCCTGTGAAGCCCTCTGGATGCCTGCTGTGGGGAAAACATCATCCCTGGCCCCACGTGGCACAGGCAGCAGGTGCTGCCAGCCCAGCCTGTAAAGCTCTTCGGCACTTTTCTTTTTTAACAGGTATTTTTGATAATTTAATGTAGTAATTTACATTGGCAGCACCATGCAACCCAGGTGTTTTAAAAAGGCGCAGCTGCTATTTTACTTTATGGAATACAAGGTAGTGTACTGATGCTATACAGAATGTGCCTCACTTTGGGCAGGCAGATGAAAATGTAATAATTGATGAAAACATGATATTGGCAGGTTGTGTATGATTTAAAATGCAGAAATGTTTACCTTGATCCGCTTCAAGCTGGAAAAAAGGGGCACTTGGGTTGCAGTTCTTTAATTCCGTATGCAAAATTGTAGAAGGGTGGCCTGTATTTCTGTGTGTTACGGCTTCAGGCACCGCCCAGACCGCAGTGCGTCCCTCTCCTGGCTAATGTGAACTGAGGTTGTTGCCAGGGCTCCTTCAGCCATGCAGTGGGTGCTGATTTGTCTTTTGCAGCCTCAGTGCCCTGCCAGCGTCTGGGGAGCCAGGGCTGAGCGCTGGGGTTTTCATGGCAGTCGGGAGGAGAGCGAGTGCCGCTCCAGCTCCCTGACACTTTTTGGCTTGTAACTTTCTTCTTCCATTAGGGAAGGGAGAGTTATTCTTGCTGAGGTTCTTATTGGCTCTTTTGGAAGGTACTTTTTCAAATACTGGTGCTGTTGGTATTCCTACGTGCTATTTTTAGAAGCAAACATAGTCTATTTTATCTCTGCAGTTTGTCTTGGAGAATTGTATCTCCTGGCTGTTTCCTGGAGCAGCACTGAAGCTGAACTGAAAAATTTCCTGTCTTGTAGAGGGTAAAGGGGAGTAATCCATCGTCCTCATTAACGGAAAAGCAATCTTTAAAATCACCTGTACCTGTTGTGTGGCTGGGTAGTGATGCTTAGCGGTGCTGCCTGAAGCACTTCGCTGCCAGTGGAGAATTTTCAGCATGTTCCCGTAGAAACAAGTGCTGCTGGGTGTGGAGTAGGAGGCACGTGAACAGGGTGCTGATGCTCAGGTTAACGAACCCAGATCTGCCCCTGCTGACCCAAAGAATCAGTGGTAGCAGAATGCACACGTTGGTTTCCCTTATGCAGTTGGTATCATCAGTTCCTTCCTAATCCTGCCCTTCGTGGGCTATAGTTAGCTTTTAACATCTCATTTGCTGACCTGTCTGTTTTTGTCGTAATTTGACCTATGGGTGTTGACCCTTCCACTGGGGCAGCCAGCATTGGAGGGCGATCCACCAGTGAGGTCTTGCAGGTTGGAGTCTCTAGAGGAAACCAAACCCCAGTCTGCGGCTCTGCCGCTTAGATCTAACTGGGGGAGGGATCAGTGATGGCCAGAAAGAGTGACTGTGCGCAGTTCTGTAAATGCTGAATTCTGTAAATGCTGAATTCTGTGTTTGGCGTGTACTGCTGGGAAACACAGAAGCTCTGTACATACTGTTGGGAAACTTCCCTCTGTCTCCTAGTTGGCTCTTGACAAGCTTGACATCGTCAACATGCGACCATTTTGGCATCATAGAGAGACTCCTCTGTGAACGGTTCTCATAATCCCTGATTTTCACAGAACTGTTCTACTTTCTTTGTATCTTGCTAATCGCCTCGCTTTCACCTCTTGCTTCTCGCTTGGAATTTGGTCCAACGTGAGCCGGAATTTTGCACTAATGAATCTCCAGGCTACAGAGAGAAAAACAGTATGGCTCTCCTCTCTAGGCTTGCATCTGCAGCATGGTGCAGCTAAAAATTGCATGAATTATTAACATAGATGTTTTGCAGAAAACAATCTTGAAACAGATAAGAAAATGAATTATTCATTGTTTTCCTCAGTTTGCGGCAGAGCAGGTTTTCTATAAGACTTGCCAAAGATTAGACAGGAGTCTTCCTACAAGATCATGTAGGAATATAGTAGGACTGGCTTTGTGCTTTCCCCTGTGAGCACCACGCCTAGAAATCAGGTCATTACTTGTTCTAGTAAAGGAAAGTGTTCTTCTCTATATAGAACTATAATTAGACAAAGAGGTTCAGGTATAAAAGCTTCAAGCAAGAACAGGGTACAGCAGCTTCGATGGAAGTGAATTATGGAGAAGGGCAGAGGGTTTGTTACTTGTGTTGCAGTGCTCCTAGCCCTGGGCTCCGCTGCATGGAAGGACTGTGAAAACACGTAACTGAAGGTCATCTATGGTCCGAAGAGCTCACTGCCTCAAACAGGGGAGGTGAGCAGGACAGGGGAGCGTGGTGTCAACACCTCTCACCACGGCTGGCGGCACAGGGAAGCAGAGCAGCACAAGAGGAGGTGGAGAAAGGGACACGGGGAAGCTGCTTGTATATTTATGGGCAGTTTTTCCCAATTGCAAGGAAGGCACACGGAGATGACTGTGCAAAGCCTGACCAGTGGATGACAGAGCATGGCACTGTGACATACTGGAAATAAGGACAGACATATCCCTGGTGGATACAGCATGGCTGGCAATGTCCTCAAAAGAAAAACGTAGCCTGAAGCGAGAGACACGTTGAAGGAGGGATTCGTAGAGATGCTGCTGTCATTAATATGGGACTGGTGCAGCTGGTACAGAGAGCTCGGCAAGGGCTGTGTGCCAGCATCCTGAATGGGTCTGAGGATGGCAACACTGCATGGTCCAGGGCCTGAGATGATAAGGACAACTTTGGGGGCAGTTTTTACTTCTAGGGATGGATAAGAAAGGCTGTGCTCAAGAGAGGCCAATCAGGAAACATCAAGGAGATGTAAGATGTGAAGCCCTGGAGAAGGGTAAGGAACAAAAGTTGAGACCTTGGTCTAGAGACAAGATGGGAGTGTTCTCCACAGTTGGAGAGAACTTTGTAGCCACGTCAAGCTTAAGCTGGGAAGAAAGGTTAGGAAAAGGTAAACAACTTGGGACTGTGGTATGGACATCACAATATAAGTTTGGAGCAGAGAGAGCTCTGTGACTCATCGATAGAGCATGAACTGCCACGACTGTGCTTGCAAACAAGATTAACCAATGAGAAAATGTCGAAGCAGGAATAAAAAATAGACCCATGGGACAATCATATGGAGAGCCCCATGGATAGAAAGAATCCTCCACAGGAGTTGTTGCAGTACTGATCAGAAAGGTGGGAGAC